GGTGCGTTTGCGGTAGCAGTGGGAGTGTGACAAGATGCGAACCAGAGCCACGTGGAGCTGCTCCAGAGCTTGTGATGTCTTGTGGCCTTACCAGTATTGCTGAGGGCAGCAGCAACGGGGCAGGTTAGGGCCAGGAGGACAGACGGCTGCACCCTTGCTCTGCCAGGTAGAACATGGCAAGAGGCAATTTCTTCATAAGGGCGTGCTGCCACTGCCTCTTCTCTGGGCGCACGCAGCAAAAAGCTGATTGTACCGTTAGGAGATGGCCAAAAGGCTGGAAAATGTGAAAGGGTGGGAGAAAAGAAATGGGGTCAGGAGCTGGGAGTGAAAGGTTGGTTGCTTGGGAGTGCTCTGCCTGGACACGGATGGTGGGGAAGCAGAAAGAAATTGTGTGTATGGACTGAACATAGATGGGCTCTGACCTTGCTGACTGAGGAGTTTAATGAGGGTTCAGACAGTGGAGCCAGAGGAAGGAGATATTTGCCCTAATTTTAATCTTTGTTTATCTTTACGCAGCTGAAGAAAAAAAATGTTCTGTATTTTAAACCAGGGAACAAGTACAGAGGGGAGAGAGCAGCTAACTGCTGTGTCTCTGAATGCTGTTTAACCCCAAGCTGGTGTGGGGCTGTATGATAATCTGCTATTGACTTCGTGCTTTTATTAGAATTACCAGCAAAGTCAAAACTCAATTTACCTGTCATCTCCTGAGATGAAGGGAACAGTATGATTGTTGGAATGGCTGATGTTGGTGCCCTGTGGTCATTTTAAGTTACTAATGTCACTTTTTCAGGTATAGAAAGTGTGGTTTTTCCATGGATGGACCACAGTACTTCACTGGGTTTTGGTTCACTGCTTTTGCTTCTTGAAACATTGGCAAGAGGTACAAGTTTTTATTTTCTTTTTTTCAGTATGCAGAAGGTCCAAGTTACAACACTCAGGATGGATGTTTTCAAGATGTGATGGAGTCTTAGGGCAGGACCTAAAAGGTGGTTCTCTGCCAGGTCTGAGCTGCTGCCCAGGGAAAACAAGCAATAGAGGAAAGGTTATAAAGAGAATTTAAATTTTTTTTTTTGCTTTTGATAGCTGTCTAATCTTTCTGATTTTGGAAGGTCATAGTCACGAGGCATAGAGAGAGTAATAATAGCAAAGCGTGTCTGAGAGAATGCTCCACTGCTTTACGGTTATTAGGAAAATAACCACAGGAATTAATTTTTTAAAAATAGCTCAGCGTTGCAGGCACAAGGGGTGTGATTGTGGCTACGGAAAAAAAGTTCTAGCTTCTTAGTTCCTAAAGTTAAAAAAAAAAAAAACACCCTGTTTGCTTAATATTTATCTCAAGGAGTAAATTGGCCTCTCGTGCCAGAGAAAACAGTCTTTGGGAAAAAAGAAACTTTATTATTGTTTGGGCAGGATCTGGCAAACCCTGCCAGGTGCAGTGCTTCATGCCTAACGTGAATCTTCCTGGTAGAGGAGGGCCTGAACTTAAAAGTATGCAGCCGGGGAGAAAGGCTGTGACAGTCTGTTCTTCATCAACAGCTCAGGATCACAGCAGCAACACAGAGCTGGGAGATGGAGAGAAAAAAGTTGGGGTCCTGGAACAAACTGGAGGGCAAGAGAAAAAGTGCAGCTGGGAAACTTTGAGAGCTGTGGGAGGAGGAGGAAAAGGCAGGGAGAGGAAACAACCTGTGCAGCAGCTGGGGAGCTGTACCCCCCTCCATGCAGAGCCTGGGGAGCTGTACCTCACGGTGCATGCTGTGGTGAGTGCATCCAGCTCCAAAGCACACACACACACACTGACCATGGGCAAGATAAAGAAGTGATACTAAAGCCGATGTTTTGACCTCCAAGCCCAGGGTAATTTATTGAAGGAAACATTAAGTTTTTCTCCAGAATGAATGGGCTTTATTGAAACCACGCCCTGGTGACTTAATGACATAGCTCTGATGGACACTGCTGCTGGCCACACTACCTGTAATTTATGAAGTATCATCTTTATTTTCAGTCTTTTTGGAGGAAAAAAGTTTCACATGTCTTTTAAAAACATTAAACTATAAGCTGGCAAAAGCTTATACAGTACATTTTGTAAATGTTTTCATGTTAATTTAGTACAATTTCTTCTGTTTGTCTAAGTATTGAAGCAGGAATTTCTGTGGGCACTGTTACCCATTTGTTAAAGCCTGAGCAGGAGGGGCTGTTATCACCTACTGCAGAGGCAGCCCTCTGGCCTTATTCTGTTTCTTCAGGTTCCTGTGAAAATGGCAGCACCTGCTCCCTCCTGGCTGTGGCTGTATGGAGCTGCCTGAATGGGCAGGCACAATGAGAGCTGGCACCAGCACCACTGACCCACCTCACCCTGTCTCCAGAACCACGAGGAGAGCGTGACACACAGGGCCTTGTGGCACAGCCAGCTGCAGAGGTGACTTACAGCCACTGCAGCTCCTCCAGAGCCAGACTCACAGCAACTGCCCCGTGTCCACTCTCAGCTGAGACTCCCGTCGTTAACAAGGCTTTACAGCGTTGCTTGTTGGATTGGAACGATGAAATGCACTCACAGAACAGAGAGACCCCACCTCCTCCTGCTGTCATGTGAGTACGTATTTCAGTTTACCTTCTGAATTCATTCAAATCCTGGGCTCTAGGGGCTGGTTGCAGAGGGGCAGAACCCCCTTCCAGTCTTGCACAGATAGGAGATGGATTTCTGTTTTAACCAGGGAGTCTCCATCTCAGAAAGCTGCAGTAATGTGTGGTGAAGACCATCTTCATCCACTGGAGATGAACCAGACCAAAATGTGTTAGTCTTGTTAGCTGCCAAAGAATAGAGCAGTTTGTGCGGGTTCAGTAGCGGGTGGAACTGTGGCGCTGCTGCTGCTTGTAAAAGGGACATTTTGTATTGCAGCAGCTCTTAAATTACCTGTGAAACTGTTCTTTAAAAAAGTGAAGTTGCAAAGTGTCATTCCTCCTTTTGAGTCATACATATAATGCTCTTGTCATGCTACAGCGAAATACTTTTATTTTTAAATCTCGTAACAAGAGCTGCTTCACTTTAGTTGAATTGCCAGATTGAATCTTTTGATTCCTTTCACTGCAATAAAAATGACACTTTGGATCCAGAAATGAAAACAAGATTTCCAATTAGTACCAAGTAACAGCCTCCTTTACTGATTACTTCAAAATGACAAGGTATTTCAACTATTCACAAATATTTCTGACATATTACAAAGTAACAGAAAACTATCATGATCATATTTAAAGCAAAATAGATTAAAAATTATTATAAACACATTGTTTTTTCCTTTTTAAAATGTTTGTTGATACAGTTTTGCAAGAGACTATCTGTTTGGTCAAATAAACTTCTACTATACAGACTGTGCTTTGTCCTACGGGACAAATTGGAAAAATATTTTCAGAACAGTACTTTGTCAGAAACAGGGGTTTGGAATATGACCTCTAATGGCCTTGCAGTTTTGTCTCCGTGGACTTTGTGCAAGGGTTAACATGAATTTTCCTTAACGCTGAGTTTATAACGTGATATGGAGCTGACACTTATTGTACATTGTATTTAAGTATTTAAAAGATCTGAGACATGTTTCTTATATATACATTTTTGAAGTTTTAAGGCTGTGCCACTAACAGATTTTATCAATCTTTTGTCATTACCTTAAATTACTTTGTGAAATTTAAAATTGTTAGCAGCAATGATCATGATCCATGTTCCTCATTTAAAAAAAATCCCAAACCAAACAGAAGAATTCCCTGGGAAACTGCACACCACACGCATGATACATCACTAAAAAATTAGTCCAAAGTTCTGATAAATAGTTCCAGCTCGAGCTACTAGTGTTCTAGTTCTAAAGAATAAAATGTTTATTATATACAGAAGGGTTGGATGGAATATGGACATTTGATGAAGATTGCTCAAGGCATTTTGTGGTGCCAGTTGGTCTTACAGCACTAACGCCGCTGCCCTTTTTGCGTAGGCTTGCACCACCGCTGGGAAGAGAACATTCCTGGGGGCAGCAACAGGCTCAAATTTACGAGATGCAAGTTGTCTTCTCCAGGCTGCTCGGTCTTCAGCTGAACCAGGAGTTTCTCGCAGGACTGAAGCCCTTCAGGGCTTGCTCCTGAGCTAAATGCAAACTTCTAACAGCGTTATGGGATGCCAGTTTACATCAGGTAAGGGTTTGGTCTTTTGCCTTCAACATATTACAACAGGAAAAACGCACCAGCAGTTTTCCGTGAGCACCATGAACTGACTTTGGTAACGTATCCATTGGCATGACCAGCGGGATCAAAGAATATGCTGTACGCCTCTCTTGTACAATAAGAAAGCACGGCTGCCCGTTACCTTGCAACTAGAGGCTGTAAATATTAAAATCATAAATATGTTCATAACCATACACATATACACAAAACACAGCAGCAGCAATATTACAGGATGCAGTGCCTACTCTATAGATGCAACACCAAATAAATGCTATTTCATACGGAGTAAACCCTTCTTCAACGGTCAAGGGCAGTAAGCACAGTTCAGGTCCAGGCTTCTGCTACTCTGAAGTGACTAAAACCAGCTCAATCCTGCTGTCTATCAAATCTAATCAAAGAAAGAGCAGCACTGTGGGAAGATAACGACTGTCAGTTAACACTAAAACTTTCTGAGCTGGAGCATTCTTTTGCCACCATTTGTGATGAATTCTCCCTTTTTCACAAGTGCTCTTTGGGTGAGCGCTCGCCAGGCTTAACAGGATAAAGTCATTACGTATGAAATATGATTTAGGGGTAAGGATTAACAGAAACAACCAGCTCAGGACTGGAGTTCCTGAATCCTGGGAGGTGCTCTCCATGGTTTTAAGTGACGTTTCAATGAGATTGCACTTAGCAGACCACTAAGAAGTTGTCACTCTCCAACTTTTTCTTCTTTTTTGTGCAGTTCTGTTTCAAGGCTTGGTCAGAATACCACAAGAAGGGCGAGAGGTGACGACTGCGCTGGTCCATCGTCTTTGCTAATGCTCCTCAGAGCAGCGTCCTCTCCTCAAGATCACGTCATCTAGTCCAATATCCCCAGTTCTTCCTTTCCCTTTCTCCCCTTTGAAAATAACCTGGGAAGAGAAATAGAACGATTTAAGCACAAAAATAAAATAACATGAAAGAAGCTTCGGTTCAGAGAGGTCTCAACAGTAAGACATCAAAAGCGTAAGAAAGCTCAGGCAATAGTAACTGACTCACAAAAGCCTATTTATTCTGCTCACAATTATGGCTGGTTTTTCTGTTTCTGATCCTCTCCCTTCTTCACTTTGGCATGAGCTTCGTGAAGAACAAGCAGTTCAGGACACATTATAAAAACGACTTATTTTCAATGACTTTGCCCTTGTTTAGCCAGTTATTAATCCACAGGGGATGACTCTTCCTATTTCACGGCACTGTATTATTTAAAGCATTGCTCATGAGGAACCTTGCTCCAGGCTTTTTGGCAATCCCTGTACAGGACGCCAGTGTCCATTAAACTGCTCTTTCCTACAAGGTGATTCCCTTAGAACGGGCACTATGAGGTAGCTCTGTACAGGCTATTGTGTAGTTTCCTGTGTGTCTGTTGCTGTAGGTGGATTTTTTGCATAAACTAATTTGACAAAAAGTACAATGACTGTCTTATCCATCAGCAGGGATCAAAGGGGCAAAACACAGGCTGAGCTTGGGCCTGGAAGAAAACCATCCAGTGCTACATCATCTAAGTGGCTCCAGCTTCTCCTGCAAAAAGCCAAAAGGCAGCACGTGCGCCAGTACTTACACTCTTGATGCCCGCTCCTCGCAAAGTTATGTGTGTCTGTCTCCAGCCGTGGCCCCCGTTTCTTCCCCAAACTGCGGGTCCGTGAGCGCCGTTTTTCCTTACAAAGACTTGGAGGGCCGCAGAATGCAGCCCAGGCACCTTATGTCTGAACGACAGGCACAAGTCGCCAGCCGGCGCCGAGTGACCCAGCGGCAGGATAAGATGCGCTGCTCTTCCTTCTTTGCCTTCGGGGTCGGCGATGGTAAGATATGATCCCCCTGCAAAAGAAAAAGCAGTCATGGTTTTTTTGAATTCTGTGTTGCAGGACCAAATGTCTAAGAGTCATTAAAAAAAATCAGAAGGTATAAAAGGGCTCCTCAAAGTCCAGTGAGTCTTAAATAAATCACAGAGCTGCTGGAACGTGAACCAGAACCGATGCATCTGCCTCCTGCAAGGTAAGAGGTACAGTGCTGGTCTTCTGTTGACATTAACACCTGGTGAGCTCCTTCCTAACAAATTTCTTTTGTACAAAGCAAAAAATACACCTTTATGTATTCCTTCCTTTCTAACAGCCCTGAGTGCCTGCCTGATTTTAAACCCCCAGTGACATTAAAGCCCCTGTGTACATTTATGCCCCTGGTAAGCTCTGTGCTTTTGCTGTTAGATGGCTGAAGGACAAGGCCAGGATAAACGTTATCGAGTAACTGAGCTGCGGTTCTGTCCCTTCTCTTTTGTTTGGGAACCGTGCTAACAGGTGAAGTCTCAACGTGTACCCATTTGCAAACATGGACAGCCTTTTGATTTCACCATACTTTAAACTCTTAATTGGGAATAGATACAGAAAGCTAGAAATACTAACGGTTTCCAAATGGCTGTTAACTTGATACTGCTCTTAGAGAAGGCTTCAGGGAGTGCGAGTTGTCAGTGAACGTACGCACTTAATTCAAAACTCTGTTATTATCTCTGATCATGTATGAAGTAAAGGTGCCTTCAGAAAAACACCTTGTAGATATAAAGGAGAGGATCTCATCAGTGTGGCAATATCCATTAAGTCTAAAAAGGAAAAAAACCAAAACAAACAGCATATACTGCTGTAGGTCCCACACACCCTTTCACATAGGCGCTCACAACTACAACAAATGAGACTTCACATCTTGGAGAAAACCCACACCTGTATTTCTAGTTTGTACTTTTCATTAAACTTTTGCATGGTGGATGATAACTTTAAAATCTGAACTCACCCAAGTGAGGGTGTCACTTAAGATATTATTATCATTATTATTATTATTATTATCCTGAACCTAAGAATCTTTTTTTTAATTGGATCAGATTTTTTAGTATCTTCTTACCAAAAAAAATTTAAAAGTTTAACGATCTTAAGGTAAAGGTGGCATGTAGGCTCCTTAGCTGAAATTGATGATACAGAAATACTGCCTTTTTTTAATACTGCTGACCTACAGAGTTGTTACTTAATTCTAGAATAGAAAAATAGTTCACATTTAAATTGGCCTGCTCCTACTCAACCAGAGCTTTATTTTCTGAAAGTTTCTTTTTGAAAGTCACAATTACTTCCCTCAAAAGCTGTGAGATTTAATGACAATGCACCAGGGCTTGTCACACACTTGAAAGGAAAGCCAGCCTTGTCCCCAGTTCACTGCTTGTACGTGGGTTTGCGGGTTCCTCTGGTCTCAATGAGATTTAACAAAGGCCAGTATTGTGCTGCTGGCCAGGACCCAGGTCTGCACTTGGGCATGAGGTGGTATCCCTTTGTCTACGGATCCAATAAAGTTTTTTGTTGGTTCGTGGGGTTTTTTTTAAAATGTTTTTGCATCAAGGTCACTGTTACAATAAGCACAATAGAGTTTAAATCACTGCACCTGTTTGTTGTAGCTACAATTCTATCACTATAAAGGTACTGACTTGACTCATTAACTGCAGCTGTTTCAGATAGTCACAGTGACTGGCTCCAATCAATAGGAAACAGATCCATGTGCGCACAAAGCCAACATAGCTGTAGGCAAGCCCCTGCAGGAAAAGGTCCCCTCAAATCGGTGTTTCCTGCGTGCAAGAGAAGCGTGTACGGCTTCAGCAAGGCACCTCTCAAAATGCAGGTTCTGATAAACCAATAAATAGCAAACTTTGAAAGGTGAAAGCAAACACTCGGGAACAAGCTGTGAAAATAAATCTCTGCAACAAGGTATTCCAGACAGGAGGGAGTGGGTGGGGGACTTCAAGAGACTAGTTTTAACAGGTTATGTCAACAGCAGCAGAACATACACAGGAAACAAAAAGCTGAGATTGTCCCTGACTGGGAAGCAACACAGGAGAAAAAAAAAAAAGTCTGGGAAATTAAAAAAGCCACTTAAAAATAATAGTTCTGGAACTTAATACAGATTAACAAGAATTTTTGAGTATAGATAATGAATGCGCTTTGAGTGCCTGCCTTTCTCCGAAACAAAGCATCTTTACATCTATTGTTTCAAAAAGATGTTGGAATGATGTGGGATCTTTTTCAAGATGCTGAATATACTCTGAAGCGTGTCTCCTTCAGAGACATTCCTATTGTAAAGATACCAGCTATGATAAAAGTGAAATTCTCAATTGCTCTTTCGTGTTGGGAATCCTCAGTTTGGATTTTTATACACAGAAGAGGCGTGGGTGTGAAATATATCACAAAATGAAAGGGAAGAGAAGCTGTGTAATTATTGTCATTCAAGAAGTGTCACCAGCCTCAAGCCTGGATGGTTCCTCAGCTACAGGACACGATTGCACGCAGGTTTCTTACCTGATGTGTCTCTCACTGGTTCCCAGTGCAAGTCGTCATCTTTTTCCTTCATCCATCCACACAGTCCACTGTCAAAATTGCAGCTGTGTACCAGCACACCTAGGCAGAACAGAGCAAAGGTCAAAAAAATATATATATAGTAGTGATGTGGATTGTTGTGGTTGGGGAACTACAGCAATTGCACTTGGGGCTGCCACTGGCAAGTAAATATGAAAATTAAATGCAGCAGAAGGAGCACTAGAAAAAGAATCTACAAAAAATACTAAAATAATAAAAGGGATGCTAGTGTTATTATTAATAATTCACACAATTTTTGTGCTAAATCTGTTAGGAAACAAAACTATAAAGGTTTGCTCAGGTAGTGGGTTGTGGGGTTTTTTTTTCTTTTTACAAAGCACAGTTTAAACAAGAGGCAGAAGATGCTGGAATCCTGTAAAAATGTATAAAAACCCACGAAATGTAAAAAAATTCCTAAACTCTAGGCCCTAACCAAGAGATGTGATGTTTACCTGGGTCATCATTTGCTTCATATTCATCGGCGGTAATCCCTCGTTCAATTTCAAGTATTTCAAACAGATTATTGCTCACTCCAGGCTGGCGTGGAACTGTAAGAAAAGTAGAGAAATGAATGAGATAAAGGTAGTTAGTGACCCACTTCCTTATCTTTAATAAAAAACAGCAGAGCAGCTGTGGGCATTGTGCTTTTCTTGGATAATTCAATATATTTAAATATATTTGACATGAACATTCATCCATTTTATGCCTATGTGATTTATGATTTATGGTGTAACATTTATCTGAGCTCTGTAAAAGGTGATTCCCAATCTGCTACGTGAAAATGAAAGCTCCTTTTTAACCAGGAAAAAAAAAAAAGAAGAAAAAAAGCTTTAACCTTGAAGCACACTATTCCCACTCCAAAGGCACTTTTAAAGATCGTGCTTTCTCAACACAATGAAGCTACATTAAAGTCCTTGCTCAAACTTTCCATCCACTCACCTTCCACAGATGTTTACGGGAGAACCTCAGCAGGAGGCAGTGGTACGTGGAAGAGCCCCACACACCCCTAACCTCCGAACACAGCCGAGGGTACATCCGTCTCTCCGCAAAGGATGAGCGCTCCCTGAACAATTATCTGGGAGCTGACAGGCAGCGGCCCCAGTGGAAGCTGGAGTTCCACTGTTAATTACACTGGTTTGCTTTCCAGCAAAGTCTGTCCTTCAGCTGCTGCTCTCGCCGCAAGAAGGAACGCTCTTGGTGATTAACGGCCCCGAGGTTACCAGCCATGCAGCAGCCAGGACACCCAGAAATTGAAGAGGTCGTTGTAGGAACGATGGTGCCAAAGTCAGGTGGCTACAGAGACTTCCACCGACTTCTGCAGGCGCTGTGCCAGTCTGGGTACGTCTCCAGAAATAACACCCTGCTGTCATGCCTGATGGACAGCTGTCAACTAGAGATAAACAGATTGCACTGGATAGAGCTGTCTGGGAAATTTGTCTTTTAGAGAGGTCTAGCACATAATTAATACCAGTAGTACTGTGTTTCAGACACGTCCTTAGATGTTATAGTCACCTCTGACACCTACGGTATTTGTGGGGGCCTTATCGACATGTTTTTGACTTGACTTTTCCCTAAACTCTAAACACTGTTGTTATGAAGTTCTAGAAGAAGGTGTTGCAGAGCTTTGAACTGGTCACTTCAGTGCTCAGACCTCCTTAGAGGAAGGTGCACTCGCTGTGAAACCGGAGAGGCAGGGCTCTAAACACGATCCCTGTGTACACTGCTTTTTGCTACGACGACCAATATGCAGAGTGGCGATCGTGGGAGAAAGTATTTGGCACAATTATTTTCTGCGAGTTTTCCAAGCCCTTTCTGTGTACTTTATACAGCCTATCAGTGTGCTTTTCACTTAACTTCAATGGTTTGATAAAGCTTGTTAAATATAAACTTGGCTGCTTTTTTCTTGGAGAATTTTATAAGCTCTGAACGAGCCAATACATCAACAGTACCATATTCTCAAAGTTCCTGAGCTAAGTTCTCCACAGATGCATGACTGTGGGGGGGAACATTTAATAACTGCATAAGACTGATTTTTTTTTCAGCTTTTTAAACTTTTGGGAAAGCAGTAGGACTTTTTTTTTTTTCATTTATTTGCTAATTGCAGAGTTTGGGAGGGTAAGAGATGGTGTGTACATATGCCAGGTTATTTGTAATTACAGAATAATCACTGTTTTGGTGTTACAAAACCAAAACAAACCATGGAGCGCAGCTTCATGTTATTAGTAATTGTTTATTACTATTAATAATGCAGTGTTCTGCCTCACAACAAACACCACATTCTTATGCAATTCCATTCCAAACAATAATCAGGACTAAGCTTCCCATTTCTTTAAAACAACAACAACAAAAAAGGCCAAAGATTTTTTGACTGCATAGTTACAACGGAAAGTTGTTAAATTCCACTTCCAAAAAAACCCCACAAGTGATGAGATCTCACACAGAACTAGCAGAAAGCAGCTCAAAGGAAAGGTAGTCCAGAGGTCAGTCAGATTTCCTGTCCTGTTTTCCTCCAGGGAAGAGCTGATATACACTGGGCTAAAAAGAAAGGGCAACAGAGAGGTACCCCTCCCCCTTTTACCTGGATACTCGTAGTGTCCTCAATAATGTTGCCTAACACTCTGCAGAGCCAAACTCTGCAGTGAGCATCATTTCAGGCAGGGCTTGCGCGGACCATCGCACCCTCGACAGCAACATTTGCATAAAAGGGGAGAGATGGGGCTAGCCTGCGACCACTCTAAAGCCCACTCCTGCATTTCTCAGGCAGTTACAAAGCTCGTTAGCTTTGACCCAAATCAAATATGATCTATATTTCCAGAAGATTTTCTGAAAAGTAACCTGCCTGCTTATCTGGGAACAGCGATTCAGGAGGTGCAAAGCGCAAACTGAGTTTGAGGGAAACACAGCTGACATAAGCGGTGTACGGAGGCTTGCACATCAGATCTGGGGATAAAACCAGCTGGAAGACTGATGGAGGGTGTATTTTGTAAGACACAAATCTTACATGAGATTTGTAAGATCTGATGACTTAGCTCCAGAGTACAAACAGGAACAAAGTGCCTACCTTAAATGGCTTAAATATTGAGACAAATACCTTGTAATAGGTGCCAGAACAGTGAAGACAGATTAAATGCTGTAAAATTATGCCACTCTAATGATATCAAGGAATAATAAAACCCACATCCTTTGCTTTTAGCATTTCCCTCTTCTTCCTCAGTTTCAAGGATCACACAACTGCATTTACTGCACTAAGGACTTTTCAGTCATTAAAAGGGGGAGCAGAAAGGATCAAGTTTTAATCCAATCTTTAAAGTTTTTTAATAGCTGTTATGAGAAGAGTCTCCTAATTGCAATCTTTTCAGCTCCACTAAGGGCTAAGAAGGAAAATTGCTGAACTATCCTTTAATACAGATAAGAGTTTTTGTTCTTGCTCTGATGGTATCTAGTATTATGATTTGCTTCTAAGTTTATGCTTTTAATGCTTATCACCCAGATCCCGACGGCAGCAGAAATTCATAGTCTTATTGAGAAGTTTCTTCGATTTGTTAGAGACTTTATCCATCCGAGTAAACCACAAAGATTCCTCTGTACCTTACTGTAGTTTGTATCAGTCCTGAAATGGTTAAATATTAAGCCATCGCCGCATTCCTCCCTCATTGCCATCCCCCCGTATCCATATCGGGAGAAGATTATCCTTGGTGCCAGATTCCACTGTCTGCATCTGACTAAGTGGTTCAAAGGCCAAGTGTAGGAATTCCTTTTCAAAAAATACTCTTTTTTTTTTTTGTTCTCAGAAAAAGGAGCTCCCCAAAGTCACTCCACGCACTTTTAGAAAAGGAGTAGATCATCTAAAGAACAGCAACAACCCAATACTCTTCAAAAACTGCAAAGGCACCGAAATAACTGCTTTGTCAAAGTCTGGCTAAGGTGGAAAAAAAAGGAAGGAAAAAGTCCATGCATCACAACATAACCTGCTTTAAAAACACAACTTTAAATGTTGAGGTCCTCAGCAGATGCTAAGGGCTGGAAGATCAGAGTTGCCAGTGGTTGCTGGCTACAGCACTCGCTGTGCTGGGTTCTGCCCTCGCTACTTAAATGCCTCTGGACAGAGGGGACAGCAGTGACCAGGGGAGCAGAAAGGAGAGAAAAAGAGAGGAAAGAGAGAGGAGAAAAGACACTGTTCATTAAGGATCACACTGCTAGCACCGTGCAAATTCCTACCACCTAGAGCACACGCAGAGTACGCCTTCAGTCACAGAGTCACACCACACACGTATGTATACCAAGTGTCTCTTTAGCAGGGGACAGAAGAATTAATACGGGATTAAAGGCACATATCTAGTGACGATTTGAGGAGCTGTCTGTCCCTGGATTACCTGGTGACACCAGTAACAGTTCTTCATGCTTGACCTGCTGGAATCCTGCTGTACAGAGCGCTGAAGCCTTTGAAGCTATGTGTGTGTACCACAAACCTCACAGGGCGGCAGCTGACCTAAACAAACACTTGATACAGACTTCCCAAAGATCATTTTTTTCCTGTGTTTGTTGTATGTAGCACAATGTAAGCTTACAGTTAGAAAACAAATGTAAAACGCTTTTACTTTCCTTCTTTCCAAACCCCTCTATCTGAAGCGCACATATTGAAAGCATTAATCTAGCCTCTAGGGAGAACACAGAAAGACTAATTGTAAATAATAAGCTTTACACAGATGATTGTTATGACTTCGTGAAAATAGCTTAAAACTATCCCTCTGCTTTAGAATTCCAGAGAACACTTGCAACACGAGACACCTGGGAAGCACGATGCTAGCCTAGAATAATTTCCAAGGAATTCTGTTTTTAACTGTTGGTTCCCATTATATTAAGTTTTGGGAGTCTTTAGTATATTTCTTTTTAGAATTTTACATAAAAATTGTTTTATATTTTTAACTGAACACAGATTGTTTAAAAATAACCTTGAAAAAGCTGAAAGCACACTCCTCTGAGTAGGACCAAGGCTTATCTTCCCAAATTCTAAGTCAGTTTTTGTCTCCATTTTAAATGGATCAAACTGTCTACAACAGGTAAGATGTCAACAGGGAAAACAAATCATTTTTCACAAGGAACAAAATATTTCACTGTGTAATGACCTAAGAGAACGCAGCCCAAGACACCACACAGATGCCAAAGCAACCGGAAAAACCTCCCACATTGCTTGTACACCTGCTCTGAGACAGCAAACTTTTCCTCCTACTACACTGCTTCAGCAGCTTTATTGCACATCAGGCTGAAGGGCTGATCCAGCACACCCGCTCTGTCTCTAAAATTAGTGGCAGTACTAAAGATGAAATCGGCTGTTGAGTATTTCTTGGCAGATAGGCATTACTCTGCATGTGCCAGTAACATCGTCTGTGGTATGCACTAAAGCTGGTGTAGAAATGGAGCTGGAGCCTTCAGAGCAGCTCTTAAAAACGACTTAAAAACGATTCTATGAGAAGCTTACTCTCTTCAGCTTTTCATTTATCTGTTTTCATAGGTGTAGTCCATAAAATTAGCTTCTCTGTTATTTTTATGCAATTTTCTCATTCCTGAGTCATAAACATCCCACGCTATTTGAGTTCATACAATATAGGTGACATAACAGTCTTTAGGTAATAACATGGTCCCATTTCTTACCATGCCTACAGCTACGGAAATATGCTACAAGTGACTCTCAACTGCCTGAATTTGAATCCGTTGACTATTTATGAGTTATGTTGCATTTCAGTACTTTTCAATAAAGTCATTTCTCCAAAATTTTCATCTGAAAGTGTAATTAGGTTAAGCACTTATACAGGATGATATACTCACAAATTATTTCAGGAAGAAAAAAAAAATTTTTGGTTGAATTGATTCATAACCTCCCCTCCACATTTTTTTTAGGTAACAAAATCAATTATTTGTGCAGCTTTACCATATGACCATTCTCAGTTTCACGTCTTTGTTCTCATTGATAAACTATCCCAAAAAGCCCAAACAGTACAGGGCATGCTTTCACCTCACTGCATCTACGATTCTGATAAATGAACGGACATGTAAAATTACTTACTGAACACATCTCCTCGGGGTTTCTGAGGATCCGGCTGTATCCTGTTGTCATCTGTAATTCCTGGGGAAGGTGTTGTTTCAATGGGAACCTGTGAAGGCTCTTCAGTTCTTATCAGAGGAGTTGTTTGTGGTGGTAGCATAGGTCTCATTGTAGGCTGAGGTGGTGTTGGAGGTGGCGGCCTCATCACTGGCCTTGTTGTCACAGGCACATACCTAGTGGTTGGCTTTGGTGTCAGTCGAGTTGTGGGCCTGGGTGTAGGACGAGTCGTTGGCACTGGTGTAGGATGCGTTGTTGGCCTGGGTGTAGGACGAGTCGTTGGCACAGGTGTAGGACGAGTTGTTGGTCCTGGAGTAGGACGAGTCGTTGGCTTGGTCACCGGCCGTTCTGTAACAACAGCAGGTACATATGGTGTTCTGAGGGGTTGCCTTGTGGCTCCAACATCAGGAATCCTATTGGTTATAGCACTGCCTCCCTTAGGGAGCGTGCTGTTGCCTTGGAATACATGATATGGACCAGGTGTCTCAATCATAACACTAGGAATAACTGTAAAGAGAATCAAAATCGGACCAAAATGGACATCTGAGTCTCTCGCTCGAGAAACTTAATAATATATTTCATTATGACATGGAGAGTCTTTGCTGAAATCATCTCTTCTTCTGAATGTTTCCACTAATTAGAAACATACTTCAGCATCAGCACTGATGAATTATCACATTCCTTTATGGAGTACTTCTCATTACAGCAGTTCAGAGATGATTTAGGAGGACTGAAGGCCAAGAAACTTCCAACCCCACCTCCTCCCAAGCATCAACACTCTCTCAGAGTTGGCAGAACTTACCCAAAAGCACTGTTAGGAAAAAAGCATGGACAGGAAGATGGGTGTTAAGCAGCCCTGTAAACTGGACAAGTTTGTACTCAGGAGCGGAGGCAAGTTTAGTAAGACTCCAATGGTACAACCATTTTGGACATGGATGGGCAGATACCTTTGACTTAGGAAAGTTGTCTTTCAGACCTCTACACTTCTTCTAAGCTTTTTTTTTTTTAATCATTTTACAGAGATTGAACCTAAGACAATAGCCTTCATTTAGATCTTTACCTTTGCTGAGCACCAGGTAACTAAGTAAATGGCATTTTTTCAGCCTCCACAAAAAGGAGAAGGTGAACTGAACGCCATGTACGCCACAGTGACAGTGCCTACACCACCGTCTCCCCCAGTATTTATAAAGAAAGGGCAACAAATTTTAACTTCGTTTCACAAGGGGAGTTTCTGCAGACATAAAACACAAGAACATCTGTTTTGTTATTTATAATTTTCTATTTGTTAGTAAGCCTTTGACATCTCACTGGAGATCTTAAAAGCCCCAGTAAGAACTCTAGTCACATATTTTGTGTACAAGTGTTTCAAGCATACCACACAGTTAAAACTAAGAGCTACTGTTTGTTAAACAATGGATTGTTTGATGATAGCAAGTGAGAAGGTTTTCTCTCTGGCCACCTGGTACTCTTTAGAATACCCTGCAGTTTTTACGTTATGGTATATTAAAACGCAGCTTAGGACTGTGTCCCAGAAACACACATGAAGTGCGTCCACACACAATTGCAAGCACTCAGGCTGTGAAGGACGACCTTAGCCAGACCATGTTACCATGAGGGCTACAGCCAAGCAAACAAGCCTGCGATGGCATTGCTCTTTGAAGAGATCAGCGAGTCACCAGAGATCAGAACGCACACGTGAACACGGGGTCCTCGAAAAGATTCAGCAGCTGTCACAGAGCTGCACAGTCCTGAGGGATGTCAAAGGTGGGGGAGCTCCAATGGCCTATTCTGTACCAAGGGGGACAGATGCTTCTCCCAAGAGAAAGGGAAGGAAGGGAATTCTTCCAGAGAAATCCTCCCTCTAAGCTCTGCTCAGATCTGGGGAGCAGTGTGGAGTGGATGGGGGGAGCTGCTGAAATGGGCCAGTTGCAGAGTGTACGTAAGTACAGGGTATGAGTAATATGCGCGCTTTGACGAGACCTACCCTGCTTACTCAATTGTTCTCATCCTGCAGCAATCTCTAGAATCAAGCTGTGAATAGGGAGAGGTGAATTTCTTTCTAATTATGAAAATGTTTCAGGGAAAGGTATTTTTACCAAGGCATGCTAAGAGAAAACTCTGACTACATTCCCTGGCCCCTTATTAAGTATTAAAAATAGTTAAGAGAACCTGAGACCGATACTGCTGTATCTCAATAATTTACAAGATGGGACACATTTACTTTCAGAATTCCTGTTCTAAAAGGAGCATTACATACGTATGCAGTTTGTTCCATTGTCTCTGTGCCCTTCTTTACACTTGCATTTGTAGGATCCTGGTGTATTGTAACATCGTGAAAAACTGCCACACTGATGGTAGCCAAGGGAACATTCATCTATATCTGCAACAGAAAGTTACATTTAAAAATCATTTACATCAAAACAACTCAGCTTTCCGCTTATCCCTGCAAAAACACTAACAGTAGTATGGTCATTAGAAAAATATTATTAATTTTAAAAAATTTAATAATACTGAATTGCCAGTGGGGAAAAAGAAGATAGGCAGTCACAAATCAGTGTGGTTATACAAATTTTAGGGTAAAAGGGACTATTGTGCAACTCCAGTATTGCTCAGCTTATTCTTTAGAATCAGCTTCAGTGATGTGCTGTGGGTAGACTGCAGTTGAGATCAAAAAGATCACAATTTGAATAACCACTTCTGAAAGGTGGCATGGTAAGAAAAGAAAAACAAAGTGTAGGAATATGCATGTGCTTAATCACGCAGGTATTTAATGTTTCCTCTCTTACACATCTGCATAGATGTTTCTACATCAAGCAGAAACCGTTTAAAACATCTTATATGCCATTTCCATGTTTGTTGTTAGCGATGCGAGCAAAAATCTCCCAACTCCAGTGCTCTGCACAGAGATTTCTCTACAAAAAGTATACTTAAACATAAAGCAATGCCTCATTATCTCCACACGACCTTCTTTCAATAAAACTTAAACCAACCTGCTTCAACATTTCAGCCATAATAAACAAACGTTCCTCTTTAAACCATTAATTGAGTTTAGAACATGCAGCTCTATTACACGCACAGAAGCGGTAAGTTGTTATTACCATAGCACTGGTATTTGCCTCCTATGTACACTAGATCGAAGCCTTTATGACACTTGCAAATATAGCTTCCAAAAGTATTGACACAGTGCCTAAATCGTGGACAGATAACTCTCCCAGTAGCACACTCATCAATATCTGTGGAAAGAAAGGAACTGTATTATTCTTAATAGCAGTTAGAATACAACGTATACACTCTATATTAAATTGCTTTCACATACCCTGCAGTGCCTGCGCTGTAGTTGACCTCTCTTTCATGGTGAGGCTGGTTACCTGAGTGACCTTAAAATATCTCAGATGTGCATTTGCCCTGCCAGGGGCTCCCAGCAGGACCCGAAGCAGTGCTTCAGCAAGCAACGTCCAAACAAGGCCAGAAGAGTGGGAAGACACAGGTGATGCTCAGTGTCTGATGCCCCTCATCTCCCAGAAGCTGCTGCTCCTCACGTTAACAAGCCAGGCAGGGACCCAGGGAGCAGCCGATGCTCACCCAGCGCTGATTTCACCGTCTGGGAAACTCTAAGCCAGAGGTCAGGCTGGTACACAACAGCTGTGTGCACTACACTCACTCTGTAGCCCTTGGAAACCAAGCTGAAGCCTGCTGAGTGCTTGAACCCTAATTCTTCCCGGAGGTAGAGACCTGCCATGCATGGCTCCCTCTGACGCATGCTGCTCCCGACATTTGCCGGTTATCTGCAGGGCACAGTTCAAGCCTCTGCTCTGCTGCTCTATCAGGCTCTTGATCTATGGGAAAGCAAGATTTTGCTCTCCACGCAATTCTTTTTCCGAAAAGGAGCACTTCAGCTGCAGGTGTCAAGAGTGCAAAACAAAGCTGAGTGATTGATGCCCTGCTGCTTGTGAAAGAGGCCTGAACAAGGCAGAGAGAAGCCCGAGTCTCATGCACTGCACAGAAAAAACATTTCCACAAACCTGCTGGTTAGTTAGGGAGCTACCTGAGGCAGGGGAGACATAGCTTCAAATTCACCAAGCTATGCTTCCCCCAGCCAAAAGAAGTGACCTAAAGCCAGGAATTACTGGCTAGATGGGCTCTCCCATTAGCTCCTGCTGGCACTGTCCCCCTCTGCATGAAGAATTACTGAGGACAGCAAGGATTCGACCCCTGAGCTCCCACTCTCCTGGCCCGTCAGGCTGCTCTGACACAGCAGCTCTCCCTTCCTCTCCACCGAGAGCACTTCTGTGGGAAAGGGCTGAATGAGAAAGAAAACGGCCGAGACTGGGCACCTCTCCACAGGCCTGAACCTCCCTATAAATCTGCCTCTTGATTTGAATCTATTATTAATGTTTTAGGCTTTGAGTACATTATTAACAGTTTCACAAATTCTGCCGTGTTCCTTACTGTCCTTTAATTTACAAGTCACAATTTTCTACCCTTTATTAAAATATTATTTCAAGGCTGCAAATCACTCTCAATTACTGTGAGCTAGTTGAGATTCTTTGTTTGTCTGTTTACAGCCAAATTGTTTGGTGGCTCTTTACTGATTGCCTGAAAGGAACATTTTAAAAAAAGAATGATCAGCATGGGTTAAACTAAGAATAGAATAATGCCTAGAGGCATTTCCACCTGTGCTAAAAATATGCATTACATTCCCAGCTGTCCTTCAAACTCTCCTCAAACAAGGATTTCATGAGCTGCAGCCAATGAATTTGATTTTTTTTATCATCTACACTTTTATTTGTCCTGCAGCAATACCCAAACCCTCACTGGAGCTGACAAACTCAAACTTGAGTCAGAAGTAACACAAAAAGGGTGCATGTCACAATCACTTCCTACCAAAAAGGGGGAGTAGATCATGTCATGACCCATGAAGGACAGACACCTCTTGCTGTGACTATTTCTCTGCATTGTACAAGACTACAAGACTGCTCTGAAATTTTTGTGGAAAATTTTAAAAATAGATTATGAGATCAATCTGAATGATGCACACTCAACTGAGATGTGGGTACACAGTTCAGCACCTTTCTGGGAGGAAAAAAAAAAAAAGGGTATTTTTGAGAACTACACTGAAGAATTTCAAGAGCATCATATAACTCATAAGTTTGAGTGCCAGACTTTGTCACTAAAAAGGCACTTTATTTCAAAGTACGAAGTTTGCCTGAATATACAAGTGCACACTAGGAGCACCTTGCCAGTATTTTTCTAGCAAATTTCTGTACTTGGTATAACTTCCTTGAAACTATACTTAAAATCACTCAGCTCACTATGGCTTGGCACAAGTTTCTTACAAAGATCCTTCCTGCCATAATGTCTGCAGCTTGATTAACCACAATTCAATCCCTTCAGGATGTGACAATGGTGGGTTTATTTCTCCTGTTCTACCCATTGTTTTGCATACAGAGACATGCCAACCATGCACTTCAGAAAGCCTCCAAATTAGAGCTGAGCCTGCTCCTCACATCACATCTAGAATCTGTCCCTTGCTCTGCCAACAAATTCTGGGTCAGCGTGGGTCAGCCACTTGAAGAACCACCTCCCTTGGGGACAGCCATGATACCCAAATGGATAATTAGGGCATCCAAATTCTCTCACATACTTTCCGTGCAAGCATTGTTACTGGTTATGGAACTGCAGCACTGCGTAGGA